ACATACTTTCATTGTTTTGTTTATTATCACATCATACTTTCTTTTTTTTACCTATTATAGCATTGGGTATATTTTATAAAATATAATGCCTAAATAAGAAAAAAAATCTGCATACTGTATGTCCTAAGGTTTTCTTTATAAAAAAAATAATCAAAAGGATACAAAAAGAGAAACTTTGGAACTGATGGTTGATGAAAGATCTAATATTTGCAAGATATATAGAGAAAGAAGATTGTTTACCTCTAACTTATCTTCTTTTGCCCTATGATTTTGGGGAAGAACACGGAAATCTTCTGTCAATCGGATGCATTCACCAACATTTTCAGGAGAAACAAAGTCCAGTGCAACTTTTATACATGACTACACAAAAAACATATTTAACCAATTAATATAACACATACAGAAACAAGTTCAATATAACAATAGCAATCAAAGACTATCTTTTAATCAATAGCAAGTCTCTAACGCTATAATTGGGTAGTTTTTTCAAATTATAACGCCTTAATAAGAAAACATAATAAGTACTATTTTGTGATGGGAGAAAAATGAGAGTAACATGCTACAATGAATAAATAGATGAAATTACATTGCTATGATGGATATACATAAGTACATGACAACAAGTACATGGCAATGTTGGCAACTAGGAGATGTTGATCTATTTTCCATTGGTACCTTGGCATCATTAAAAGCAGTTGAAAATCTAACCCAATCTAGGTCAACATTTTTATATTTTAATACAACATTTTTGATAAACATATTGAACACTAATTGACCCATTTAGATTTTAAAAGTTTGAATAAAATAGGAAAAGCATACACTTAGTTAAATAACAACTTTAATAATTAATCTATGTTTAAGAAAATACAACAAAAAAAAAAGTGTTTTGAGGATGAGGTCATGACTTGTGAGATGAATCTGAGTGGCTTAAATTTTTCTCTGTTAAGGTTCTTTTATTTTATACTATTTAGATACAAAATAACTAAAAGATACAAAATATTCACATTTAAGTATATATAAAATATACTTAAAGGGATGAAGGATTGAAATTAGGTTGCATTAAATAACCCTAACTCGGCTACAAGTTGCAAGCCCCAGCACAACCCAAAACATTTGGGTTGGGTTCATGTTGGGTTTGCTAGTTGGGTTGTCTTTTTCAAACTCTAGATCCAACAAGGTCTCTGTCAAATGGCATAGCACGGGTACTGGCACTACTGATAGTTGTTGTTTGACCTTTATCGGTAACTACAACACAAATATCTAGAATTAAAGACTACAAAATTTAGTTGTTTTTTGAAATTTAAGGTTTATGGTGAAAATTAGATTGATTCTTGTTCTAAAATGAGATTGAAGTGATCGTGAAGGTAAATATGTATTACCCCGAATAGGAGGGTGTGGAGGTTTAGAACTAAGGTAGCAAACCAGCCTTGGTCTTTCTCTTTTCGCATTTATTTGCACTTCTTTCACATATTTCCATTTCCCCACTTTGATATTTATATCAGTTTTAAGCTCTACAGCTTGTAGTGGTTATAGTTTCATACCACTGTTTAGTGCTTGCATTTGGGTGTCTGTACCATCGTATGTTTGTGTTTCGCTTATGTCTTTATGTGAAAATAGTTCTACCTTAGATGGAGGCATGGTTGTCTACATCTACCTCCACTTACCCCATTGCTACGGGATCATGGAATATGTTGTTGATGTTATGTCATGTTCAAGGTTGTTATATTTGAATATCATATATTGATAGGTGTCCTTTGCATCAGTCAGGCTAGTCTTCACCTAGCTCGTAGGGCTATGGTTGTATCTAGAGATGCATATTGTTTCAGATTCGGTAAACATTATAGTTTTTTACAAGAATATTCTTCAATCTATTTTTTATTGACAAACTACTTTTCGTTTGGTTGGATCTAAATGAATTATTTTTAATCATATTATTAACTTTTTATGCAACTTACAAGTACAAATTATAAACATAACCTTCCATCGTCAAAATATGTAACATTAAATCTTTGATGCTTCTGGTGAACCGTTCAATGTTGTATATTTATGCATATTCACTATTTATCCATAAGTCTATACCGACTATTAGTTTCCCTGTTCGTTAGGACTTGTCAAAATACAATGTTTAACATCATCGTATTTCCTCCTCTAGTTTGATCCACCATTAATGATTCTCCACTCACTTCTCCACCCAAATGTTTATAGCCTTATTTTGGTGCTATCAGCACTATTTTACATATGAAAATTTCAGATTTGGGACATTTGTTTTTTCCATTATCTATATATACCGCCAAGTCTACATCAACCCTCTCTTTAGTATGTAGAAATCATAAAATCGAACATGCAAGTGATGGTCTCCTCTGGTCAGATGTGTAAGAAGCAAGTAATGAAGAATTGGACAGGTACTAGAAACACAAATAAAAAGCTCAAAGATGAAGAGGAAGAATTCAAGTACATCAGATGTTGAATTCGTAGGCTGCAATTAGCTTATTTTTCATTCTAACTACTATGGTGTTTCACTTCCAATATCAAAGTGGATTCCGTGTTTGTGGTAGTTGACTGATTTTCCAGAATTGAGCATTTTTCCCTATGAAAAGGTAACAGATGCAAGCAATGTTCCTAGGCTATTCTTCTCTGTGAAAAGACAGCATGGCAATTGCGCTAGCATTCCCATGTCTGTAGCCTGTAGGACGTTATGAAAAATGTTTTGATTTTGTGTTAAGCTCTTCCAGTGCAGCTGTTGCAAGTGTTTGTTGTTGGCAACAAAGTGATTGTCTTTTTAAGAGAGATTTTAGATTGGCACTTACAGCAAATAACACCCACGGAAACGAGATCCTTACCTGAATTTATTCATATGTTGTGCATCTCTATGAAGATTTCAAGAGCATTTAGGCAATGACTAAGAGCAATCCTCAAAAATGTGTTCTGGTTGATCGGTTGGCATTGAGTAGACATGGTTTGAGAACAAATATGTAGGAAGCACATACACTTTGGTCACATGAATAACATAGACATAAGAGATCTAAAAAGTTTGTAGTTTGTGTTGAAGGGCGGATAAAGGTGGTACACCTAAAGACCTTAGAGAGGTACATTCAATAAGCACCTAATGGTAGGATATGTGCTCATTAGTGATTGGTGAGAGGCTTAAAATTTTTAAGAGTCCTAGTTGGCGAACAATTGACAACATAAGTTGCAAATAATATAACATCCCCCAAAATTGCAAATTAATTTTTGGTGGTTAAAAGATGTGAGCATATGAAAAAAAATGTTTGTTTTTCTTGTCTCTGAACAACACCAACACCATTTTGTTGTAGAGTATATGTGGATGATCTCATTTTCCTAGAGTGTAGAGTTGCTTGGCAAACCATACAAACCACACGAGGTTTAAAACTTTTGTGGTGCAGTTTGTAGATTGTGATTTTCTTAAACTGCACTATGTGGTGCATTTTGCGGATTTTAACTGTAAAACTACGGTTCAAATCACACCACACAACAATGTACTTTGATCCATCATCGGCCATTACAAATTAGACAATGAATGATGAAATTCCAAAAGCAACAAATACAAATAAAGAGTCATAGTCGATGTTGGACAGATTGACCTTGTTGGAGTATTTTAATCATATCCCACTCACTCCCCATAGCTTCGATTACGTCTTGTTCCTGAGTTTTTTTAAATTCAATAAAGGAAAGGGAAGGAAAACATTGACAGAAAGAAAGAGATGGGAAGAAAAAATTTCATTATTCCGTATTCCTGAATTCGAAGGAAATGAAAGGAAAATTTTAAGTTTTTGAGTTAGGAGGAAAAAAAAAAAAAAACTAAAAGATTTTCCTTCCCCTCATTTTCTTCCAGAATCCGCCCAATTTGGAAGGAAAATTTGGAAAGAAAATATGGCTCCAAAATCCTTTCCTTCCCCTCACTTTCCTTCCATCGATTAACTCGGGAACACGATTTTCCATTGACATTCCTCACTCCCTCCATATCCCTCCTTAAGTAGAACTCGAGAACAAGGCGTTAAGGTAAATGAAAATGATCTAAAAAGATGACACACTTATCTATAATTCATCATTATCCAAGTCATAATAAGCATGGAAGTTGGAGGCAGTGTGCTAGTTAGGCATGAGCATATGAAAGCGTTTAGAGTAGACCTAGATCAGAACAAATCGGAACAATACCAGGCCGGTTTTATAGTATACAAGACTGTTCACGGTTCTAGGATTTTGGGTTTCCCGGTTCCACAAGTTCCACTGAAAAAACCGGATCGAATTTAGGATTGGACATAGAATTGTGTACTATGCTATGTTGTAAAAATCGTATAAAATCATTAAAAAAAATCCAATGAACATAAATGAGGTCAGTGCCATTTGAAAGATACAAGTGTCTACTTTTTTTCTATTTTAGAAAACTGATTTTGAGTGAATTGTAAAAAATCCGATAGATGTTGAATTGTAAAAATCTTATAAAATCAGAGAAAAATCTTATCAACATGAGGTCGGTGCCATTTGAAAGATGCAAGAGTACTTTATTTCTTATTTGGAAGTCAAAAACTGACTTTGAGTGTAAATGGTAAAAAAACTGCTTGAACAGAGGGCTAAAAATTGTCATTGTTGTTGAAATCCGATAGATATACTAAAATCCTATAATATCGTAGAAAAATCTTGTGAACACAAGGTCAGTGCCATTTAAAAGATGTAAGAGTCTACTTATTTCTTATTTAGAAGTCGGAAAGTAAAGCGGTTAAAAAACAATTTGCACAAAGGGCTGGAAAATGTCATTGTTAAAATCCAATAGCTGTTCATTGTACAAATCTTATAAAATCATAGAAAAATCTTGTCAACATCAACGTGAAGCTGATCTTTTTGAGGTAGAGGGTTTAAGTACCGTTTGGGAGATAGATGGATTCAAAAGTAGTTTAGAAGCAGATTAAATTTGCACTTCAAAAGAAGATTTTAAAAAAAAAAAAAAAAAAAAAAAAAAAAAAAAAAAAAAAAAAAAAAAAACCATTTCAAAAGGAAAATGCTTAAAAAACTTATAGAACAGACGGCTAGAAAACCACTTTGGGAAAGAAAGCATGTTGGTTATCAAGGTAACAAACCATCTAGACCATGAAATGATCTTTTATAAGGGAGGAGAGAGTCATTCCCTCCCAACCCACTGAACCCACTTTCACATTAATTTTTGTCTCTTCTTTTTCTTTATCTTTCCCAACCCACAACACATAGAAATCCTATCTTTCTCAACCCACTCAATTAAAAAAAATACAAAACAACTAAGGTACAAATTTTAAAACACATGGTACAAGAGAAAATGCGAGAGAAAGTAGAGAGAGGATGAAGTGGCTTAATGAAACCAATTAAACAACCTGCTAAAGAGGGAGTGGTACCGGCAGTAACTCTATTGCTAATTAAGATTTTACCTTGATTGTTTTGTATTTTTTTTTATAATTGAATGGGTTGAAAAAGATAGGATTTCCGCATGTCGTGGGTTGGAAAAGATGAAGAAAAATGAAAGAGAAAGAGAAACTGATTTGGCAGTGGGTTCAACGGGTTGGAAGGGAATGACTCCCTCCTCCCTAAAAGATAACCCACATCGCTATGAATCACTTTGAATGGATGGGATCTTTTGTATGGTTAAATGGGGCATGAAGTTGCAAATTGCACTAATTGAGTTGCCAAAGATGAATCTCATCTTTATTTTGGTTGGAAGTGCTAATTGCACTAATCAAGTCCCTCAGAGCTTTTCCATAAATTCTATCTCCAAACACAAGAAATTTCCAGACTTTAGCATTGCCAATCACCCTTCCCAAGTGCAAGTCCTGCAATTCACACAAAGTAGGACGTAATTTAGTGATACAATTGAATCATTCTAGGGTGTAACGAGGGGTTGTTTGGTAAATAGTCCCAGCCTCTTAATATTAAAGAGAAGGTAAGATTGCTTAACCATTCAAAGGCAGTTCATAGGCTGAACCAAACGCAAACGCACCGAATCCTGACTTCCAAGGTTTTTGATTCAACCAATCGCAAATGCACCGAATGTTGACCGATTCAAAGGATGGTTCCATTCAGAGGTTACCAAACATCCCCTTAGTGTTGAGGGTAGCTTGCTTTGAGATGATAACCGAACTAATTTGGATAGCATCCCATCTTAATCTCCCTTTAGATTGTTGTTTGAACCATTCTTGCAAAGTCCCCATTTGTTCTCGTTAAATAGCTTGTTTTTATGAGTTCACCTCAACAATTGTCAAGTTTTATGCCGCTTAAGATCTTGTAGTGGTTACACCAAAGACAATCACCTAACCATGATAGTTGATGAATTGTTGCAGAAGTTCCCAAGGCAGTTTCGGATTCCACAATATAGTCAAACAAACCAACTTGTAACAGCTAAAGTCGAGCCTTCGATGCTGGTTCAGTGTTCAATGATTGAATTCAAAAGCGAGAAGCCGAGGATATTCAAGGATGATCTGATTTGATATACTTAGTCATCAATCTTAGGATGACTTTAAAGAATAGAGAATCTAAGGTACCATGAAGAATTTATGAAAAGGGTCGATAATCAGGATTATAATGGAGCTATTTTATTCTAGGAAGAAAAACAAATCTAGACCAACTAGTCAACTGTTCAGTAACTTATCTTATAACTTGCGTCATAAACAAAATCTAAAAGTTCAAAGTGGTGGGATGGACTAGGTCTAGGATACTACTGCATTTGACTTTGTAAATTCTGGTTTCCTACAAGGCAAAACTAGCTCTTGACTGTTTGATAAAATGTTCTGAAAGAAACGCTTACGTAACTGAAAAAACACTAAAATATATGACCATACATACTCCCATAACTAAATAGCCACAAGCTTGTTAATAATAACGAATTAACTCTTATCACTTATTCACCACTACCTAAAGCCTCAAGAGTCAACACCCACCAACAACCATTAAACTGGAAAATAGTAAACAAAGCATGATAATTGTAGCTAGCTGATATTTGAATCAGTCATCTAACAATGATTGCCATGTAAAAACTTACTAATCTATATGGATTAGGCAAGAACACAAACCCTTACAATCTTGAATAACCCCCCACAAGCACAACTGATCTAAATGTCTTATATCTATACCATACTCAAGTTACCACAGGAAAGTCTTTGGAGTTAATAAGGTTACTCCAATGTACAGGTATCCTAAAAAGAATTTGCAAATATAAGCAGTCGACCTAACATCCCTAGAACTTATAAGATGATTTTTAAGCAGATGCATTCCCAAGTTACAAAGTCTAAAATAAATCTAGCATAAAATAGCCTTTAACGAGTCCCCAATTTCAGATAAAGCAATTTAATGCAGTGAAAGAATCTACAAACTAGTGGTGAGTTACTAACCTTCAAATTTCTAACTTGATGAGCACATCCAGCAGGTATAAAAACAGCATCTCCAAGCTTTTGGACAAAAGTCCATGGTTCAATTCCTGATGAGAACAGATAATATGAGGAATTTTATAATAGTAAAAGGTAAGACAGAGCCTTGCAAATGCATACTAACCAAACTCTTCCTTAAGCTTCCTTTTATGCTCCATTGTTAAGTAAAATGTTTGATCATGAATCGGGTGTATAACCTGGACCAAGAAAATATAATGGAACAGTTTAAGAAATTACTATTTAGGAATGTAATGCTACACATAAATGACTACCTGCTCCACTGGGCGACAAAAGATATGCCTAAACTCTTTAAAGTGTTTTTTGAGATATTTCTCCAGTTTAGGCGAATCTTCTCTCCTAAATATGTCCCATAAAGCACCTCCATCTCCCAAATCAAATCCATCCACACATCTACCTGATATATCAACCTGGTTATCACCTTCTTCACTATCAGAAGATATCACTTGTTTCCTGCCCTTCCTTTTAGATCCTTTATTTCCATTTTGTCCCTCAACTTTTTTAATGGAAGTCTTTCTCCTCCTAACTTTTCTATCACTGTCAGAATCACTTGATTGATCACAGTTGGTTGTTACATAACAAGGACCTGTTCCATTCACACTTTTAAACTTGCGTCTAGTGTAAACATGGTCCCTTGTTTCTTCAACATTGTCATCACACAATTTTCTTTCAACTTTTCTTTCAACTTTAGATTCAAGACAATCATTACCCAGTGTCCCTTTTTGGGAAGTTATATCCTTCCCTACCCATCCAAAAAGTTCCCTCTGATCCTGAGCTTTGTGTTGCTGTTTCAATTTATTTATCTTTTCGCGATGTTCAGGTGTGGGGGTCACAGTTGCAGTATGTGTCAACACATTCACCTGCAAAATAGATTACCAAATCCAATACTAATGATCTTGCAACTGCCTAGAACGGGAAACTACAAGCAAAAGAATTTGGCATAGCCAAATAGAAGAAGCATACCGCATCAGACATGTCACAATGAAGTTTAGTTACAGAGTCTCCACGTCCCAATTCTTCAGAAACACCATAAGCTATATAAGTTTTAGGGCCCATGTCTGGCTTACAAGATTTTGGAGGCAACTTGACTGCAAGATTAAGGTATCCATCACGCGGATGTGTGTACTCTTTAAAGGGTAAGCAAGTGATAAACTCAACACCATGACGTGGCAACCGTTCTTCAAATAAACTTGATGGAGGCCAATCTTTCAGCTTTAGGATCTGTGGCCACCCTTTGGAATCGTATTGACCTTCTGTATACGAAATGAAAAAGTGATGAACATTTATATCAACCTGCATGTCATGAGAAAAATTGATTAGGCATACCGTATATACCCTAAAATGTAGTATTATCTTAAAAACAAACAGCTTGCAAAAGAACATGACAACATCGAAAAACGTTCTAAAAATAAGTGTTGAAACATTAAGTTGAAAATTGACAGAGATAGAAGATATTCTCCCAAGCTTGTATAATTGCAAATATCCAGCAATTACTAGAGAACAAATAGTATACAGATAAATGTAAGTGCTCAACTCACCTCACACCAATCTAAACAATTGAGAGCAGACACATCCAAGAGCTTATCATGTTTGGTATTTGTCATCTGGCGAAAAGCACGCCACATAACCATGGGTTCCCAGCTCAACCCAAGTGTAGTTTCTAGAACATTACTGACAATCACAGGCTCCCCTTTTGACCAATGCCACTGGAAATGCTTCAAATCTCCATGTTGAATGTCTATTGCACGTGGACAATACAAGTAATTGTCTCTAGAATTTTCACGGGAAGCAGCTTTTCGTAACTGACCATCGCTTTTGTTCATGAAATCTGAACAAGAGCACCATTCCTCAGGCATCTCACGCATATCTTCCTTCAGTTTGTGCATCTTTAAGAGTTTTTGTGCTTTCTCCAACAACTTTGAAACATTGTCAAGTGGCTTTATGCACATCAACTCTAAAATCCCACGACCACAACCACCCATAGTTTCTGGAGGACAAGGAATTCTGCCATCATCCAGACACTTCCATTCATGAGTTTGCTTTTCCTTTGGTGCAGCCTTCTCAACAAAACAGGCTGTGTTCCTTGTTTCCCTGTTTTGCTTACGTGTGTCATACGTATCCTTCCCCCCATGCAAGTAATCATAACCTGGATCTTTAAATTCAATGATAACTTTTTCCTTGTTTCCTTGAAGGTTGCCATCTCGCAATTCCCAGCAACATTGAAGGCAAAGATCATATTGACAAGAAGGGCAGCTTCTATGCAAGTCAAAAATTGATGTTTTACAGCAGTCACTGCATAAATCATGGGACAACCAAAATAGGAAATCAGTATAAATCCAAATCCTTAAAACGTTTGTGCAATCATTGAAATAACATACCAGTACATGCGCTCATCTGGACTGCACTTTGCCTTCTTCAAATGTACCTCTGACAAAGAACACCCTGCCCAGGAAGATAAATTTATGACAAAGATGCATCATCCTTCACAAAACATATATGCACCAAGCCAAACAGAATATATATATATATATATATATATATATATATATATATATAAAGAACAGTGGATGATTCTTTGTTCTCATGCAGTTATGCGACACGACGAACTAGCAACAAGATTAAAGTTTGTCATCCATTATATGATCATGAAAAAAAATTAAGTTGTCATGATCAACAACAAGAGTTCAGACTAAGAAGTTAAGCAGAAAAATGATTTTCTTGCATTTCCTAGTGTCTAAGGGATGAACTCAATATATCCATACCTGTTTTTATAGAAACAGAACAGTCATCATCATTATTCATGAATCATATATTGGGGCAGTACTGATTTTAATCAACACGGAGATAAATGATAAAAAAAACACACCTTGAATCTTAGACTCCATTGCTCTCTCCTTCATGAACTCCTTATTGAGACGCTTCAAGAATGGAAAAAGCACATGTAGGATATAAACAGAATACCGAACTTTCTGATTGTTATTAGGTTTGAAATTGATCTTCTCTTTGACCTAAAAACCATCAAATAGATTCAGTACAGTTTGCATAAGAGAAAGAACAGAAATAAGTTCCATATCAAAAGATAAGCTGCAGGAACTAACTTTAGGGTGCACATCACGCAAACAACGTTTACAGTTGCAATTGTCACAGCAAACAGGACAACGCTCAGCAAACATCTTCTCTGTCATGTTAGGGTACCTACAGAACAGAGTAAACAAAGAGAATAAGAAGAAAAGATTGTAAAAGAACAGCAAATTCCAAGAAATAGCACCAAACTTTTAAGGCAATATAGCACACGTGCACCAATGAGGCAATGACAGAGTCTACATATGAATAACCAACTGATCATATGCAACAGGGTATATGACCAGTAAGCATCATAGAACATCGTGAGAATCATGTGAGAGCTTATGAAAATTTGGACAAAAGGGATTGACTGCTATTCTTCAACCATCAGCTTGAAAGGAAAAAATTTACCATCAGGCATCAAGTTAGTAGATTATGGAAGCATATGATGCTACAAACTCAACCAACTAAATCACAAACAAAGGTCAATTTTGGCTACACAAAAAGTAAGTTAAAAACACAATGAGGCAAGTGAGAAGGGTAAAAATTAAGTAATAAACTAGACTGAACCTTGCAAAACAGACTTCAATTGAGTTGTTCAGGTAAAAAAGAAGAAAAAGGTTGTAAAAGCTCATACCATGTGGTCATGCAAGGCACACAGTAACGTTTTGTAGTACATTTTTGGCATCGAACAACTCGGCCCTTGTCATTTCTTTGGCACTGATGGCACATGTCTGACACTACCTTAACTCGTTTTCCCTACCAATGGATAGAAAAGAAAAAGATAATTCTTGATTAAATATGTGCAAGAGCAGACAAGCAGACTTCTTTAGATAAAAAGTAGAGAAGCCAGGGTCACAGAATATACATTTTCATCTAGACCCCAATTCTTGGCATACAGCTTTGGCTTTGGGTCATCTTCTTTCCTGCTTGAGCTGGAAGCTTTCTGGCTTCTCTTATCTTGTTCCTCTTCACCAATCTTTTCTTTCTTTGGAGTCAACTGCGGTTGTTTCGTCCGAGCAAGAAGCTGTTGTTTCTTCTGGATTTTTTTATCACGTTTCTCTTCATCCATCTTTTCTATCTTAGAAGCAGGAAGTTGTTTCCTCTGGATTCTCTTATTTTGTTCCTCTTCATCCATCTTTTCTTTCTTAGAAGCAGGAAGCTGTTGTTTCCTCTGGATTCTCTTATCTTTTTCCTCTTCATCCATCTTTTCTATCTTAGATGTAGGAAGCTGTTGTTTCTTCTGGATTCTCTTATCTTTTTCCTCTTCATCCATCTTTTCTTTCTTAGAAGCAGAAAGCTGTTGTTTCCTCTGGATTCTCCTATCTTTTTCCTCTTCATCCATCTTTTCTATCTTAGATCTAGGAAGCTGTTGTTTCTTCTGGATTCTCTTATCTTTTTCCTCTTCATCCATCTTTTCTTTCTTAGAAGCAGGAAGCTGTTGTTTCCTCTGGATTCTCTTATCTTTTTCCTCTTCATCCATCTTTTCTATCTTAGATGTAGGAAGCTGTTGTTTCTTCTGGATTCTCTTATCTTTTTCCTCTTCATCCATCTTTTCTTTCTTAGAAGCAGGAAGCTGTTGTTTCCTCTGGATTCTCTTATCTTTTTCCTCTTCATCCATCTTTTCTATCTTAGATCTAGGAAGCTGTTGTTTCTTCTGGATTCTCTTATCTTTTTCCTCTTCATCCATCTTTTCTTTCTTAGAAGAAGGAAGCTGTTGTTTCTTCTGGATTCTCTTATCATGTTGCTCTTCATCCATCTTTTCTTTCTTGGACTGTTGTTTCATCTGGTTTCTCTTATCTTGTTCCCCTTCACTCGTACTTTCTTTCCTAGAAGAAGACAGCTGGTGTTTCTTCTGTATTCTCTTGTATTGTTTCTCTACACTCATCTTTTCTTTCTTTGAAACCGATTGCAGGTGTTTCTTCTTCCGTGCATCCTCTTCAAGAGGATCATAATTAAAAATCTGAGCATAATTAATATCATTGTTCCTAGTACTTCTTTCAGATCTCCCACTCTCTTTATTGTCCTCTTTGTTTTTGTTTGTTACTTCATTGGTAGCGTTCCCCTCTCCATCAGGACTAGGAGGAACAGTTTGAGCATCAACCATAACTTCTTCTGTTTCTTCTGGGGACTTGTTATCATCATCACTTGACTTCACAACACCATTCGTCATCTTCCTTTCTTCTTTTGTAGAAACACACAACTTGTGAAGTGGTTTATTCTTCTTCTCTGGGGATTTAATAGCCGTATCAGTGTTCTTGTTGTCATCTTCCCGAACTCTTTTCTTACCACTGTTCTTCTGAACACCCTCCTTCCCCTCTGCTTCATATTCACAAAACCTATTCTGTTCTTCACCCCGATCACGATTAATGGAAGCATATCGTTCCTCTTTTGGTTCCTGGTTTTTGTTCTCTTCAGCCACTAGTTCCTTCGAGCTACGTACGACATTACTACATGAAGAAATAATATTAACTTCTACTTTTTCGTGATTGCGAGACAGAGTGCGAGTAGAAGGCACAGATGAAGGTAGACCGCCAACATTAACATCAGCACGACATCGTCCCTGATCAACAACAGGGCCATCAACATCCATCAACAAGTCGTTGATTTCACCCTTATCTTTGGCCTCAACAAGATTCCCGTTCTTTGTAATTGTTTTCGCCGAGCATGAAGACATAATATTATTTTCTACTACTTTTTCGTTATTGTTAGGCAGAGTACGAAGGGAAGGCAAAGACGAAGACGAAGGTACACCGTCAACATGAACACCAACACGACATCGTTCCTGATCATCAACAGGAACATCGACATCGATAACCCTGTCATCGATTTCACCATCATCTTTGGCCTCAACAAGATTTCCATTCGCTGTAATCGTTGCCGCCATCAATAAAAAACTAATTCTTAAGACTTGAGGGAAAAAAAAACAAAAAAAACCTACACAGGAGGAAGAGAAACGGTGGGTGGAGTTAGGGTTTTGAATACAGTGGGGGTTTGCTGTTGATTCAAGTATTCAACCGAGGGATTGCCGCCTGTTGACCTCCACTTCGCGGGTTTCGCAAACATAGGACACAATTGCACAAAGAATCGAGAGAAATAAGGACCATGAACGGGTAGCGAGCTGGAATCGAAACCCTAGAATTAACGTTACGGCGATATTGTGATTTGATTTCGCCTTAAAACCAACTCATATATAATATTTACTGGAATTGGAACCTTCGAATTAACATTATGAAATTGTGATCTGTTACAGGATAATCATGATCCTTTTTAAGTTTTTTGGATAAGAGTTAGAGGTGGTGTCAGCGATCACCGTCCCCCCACTTCATCCTGATCCTAGCACATAAACTTGGCTAACGATTTATTTTTGAGTAAATGAATGAAAAACGTCCGTATGCTACAGGTAAAATTGCATCGTTTACATAGGGATCGATAGTTCAAAAGAGCGGAAGAGACTTTGATGAGTTTAGTTAAAGGAAAGAAGTGCTTTCTAATTTTCGTTCAGATTTTTTTTCAATTTTAAAATATTTAATTTTCTTTTCATTTTTCTTCAACTTGACAACACAAAAGATTAATTTGTTTTCCTTACTTTCATTTTTCTTCTCTTCTTTTCTTTGCTTAGCTTCAACTCGGGAGCGATGTGTTCTATTGTTTCTTTTTCATTTGGATCTATCCTTATAATTTTATTTTGTTCTAATCCTTTATGGATTTGAAATGACTAAATTGATCTTACCTATATTTTCTCAGTTTATTATTATTTATTTATTGTTCTTAATTTAGAAATAAGGTTAAATAAAATAGTCTCGCCCTACGTATTTCTCTCTACCTCCGTCTTGTTTACATACCCTATATACCTAAACCTTTGGACCACCATCATTGTCGTCGTCATCCTAAGTCGACCATCATCGGACCAGATCGTTGGTGTCCCATTAACATCCTCTAACTTAAGTAAAAAAAATGTAACACCCATAAAAATCATGCCAAAGTTAAACTGTTAAAACATTTAAAAACCAACGGTTATTACAAATTTGTTTTCAAAATAGTCTATATCAGAGTCTCCCAAAAACAAAATCATGAAAAAGTGAGGAGCGGTACAATCACGCATTTGCCTTGCCGCAGTCCCCTGATGTACCTGAAACACTAAACTGAAACCGTAAGTCTGAGAGCTTAGTAAGTTCCCCCAAAATACTCATACACACAATAATACACATATAATCATGAATAACATACTATGGGTCCAATCAACCATCGGGTTGGAATATCCTAGACCCTCAACCATCTGGTTGGAATGCCAACATACTATGGGTCCAATCATCCTCGGGATGGAATACCCCATGCTCACAACCAACAGGTTGGAATGCCTACATACTATGAATCCAATCATCATCGGGATGGAATACTCACTGCCCACAACCAACAGGTTGGAATGCCCAGGTCTATTGGCTTTCACACAAAACATATAAGCCTCACCCATCAAACAACATGTGCACATATAACAAATAATCATATAACAGTCTATAGACAGACAAACCGATCTAACAAATCATAATAGCATTGCACATCCTATTTATCAAGATACTGATCTAACGGATCATATCAACATGTAACATCCTACTGATCTAACGTATCATATCAACATGTAACATCCTACTTACCAGGATACTGGTCTTATGGATCATAACATCATATAACATCTCATCTACCAGGATACTGATCTAACGGATCATAACGATATATAACATTCCATCTACTGGGATACTAATCTAACGGATCGTACAATACTCGAGCATACAACATATCAGTATAGCAATCCAAAAGGGCTGACCTTGGTGCCTTAGACCCTTAAGTATAGTGAGGATAACTCACCTCTCAACTGTCGACTCGAAATATAGGCTCGAACTCTCGGATCACCGCCACAAACTCAACCACCTATATTCACCATAGAACCATACTCATAAATTTCCAATTTCCTGAAATGTCCTAGAAGTCAATTAGCTAACCCTTAGTCAAAGTCAAAGCCAACGGTCAAGGTCAACAATCCATGTTGACCCGACTCGTCGAGTCCAGTCACTGACTTGTCGATTCCTTCCAGAACTCGAGTAGTCGTGAGATCCCCTCCCACCGAATCGTCGAGTTTCCCTTCAACTCACCGAGTTTGTGTATGTCCAAATGTCGGGAAAACCCCAGTTGACTCGTCGAGTCACCCCACTGACTCGTCGAGTCCATGCAGAAGTCCTTGCACGACTATCTTCATCAAACTCTCTGAGTTGGCCATGCAACTCTCCGAGTCCCTTCAGTCCATTGTCCATTCAGATGCTTATTAATCCATTTTAAGGTTCCATATTGTAGATACAGCTTCCCAAGGCATGTTTATTACGTAAAGTTGAAAACTTTACGTACAAGACTTATAATGTCAAAACCAAACTTGTAATGGAGTTTTACAGCTAAGGGGAGGTTCACATTTGCTAAAGTTGGAAGCTTTATGGACTTAGAGACCAAAGAGAGTTCAGATCTGAAGTTGCAACTTTAGATCTTAGCTCATACCCAAGAATAGCTTCCTAATATGCTAGGAAAGCCCTAACCTTTAACCAAATGAGATCTAGAAGGAAATGAGGTGTGACATCCCCAATTTCACGGCCATAAAAGACCGATTTGTTTATGCTTTGTTTTTAAAATCAGAGCAATCTTTTACAGAAAACAGTTGCGGAATTTATTCCCAAAATAAAATATGATAAAATAAAATTTATCAAAGCAATTCTTAAAGAGACTGTACTTTTCATTAATTATAAAACCTCGGGATGTCATGTTCCGATACAGACCAAAAGCATAAACAATATAAAATAGACCTTACAACAGTTATTTATAACTACTGATCTATAATCCAAAATCTCTCGTCAAGTCCACCAACTTATACCCTTGTGCCATTACCTGTAATGCAAAGAAAACTGAGTGGGTCAGGCTTGGGAGCCTGGTGAGCATATAGGGTTTTCAACCCACAATAATATAATTATTATATTCAATCATCAAACAATCAACCCAATTACCCATCCCTATTATCTTTGTTTAATCTTCCCTAGAGATATTATCCTAAGGGTCACCTCCTATATCATGTTTACCTCCCATCTCCTTACATCTTATTTCCTTGTATGTTTGTTCCTAAGAACTTTTCCTAAGGATCATCGCCTACATTACATAGATAATACTAATTCGGGGACCACTCCGTCAATATGTGTCTAGTACGGGTTAAGGTGTCATCGCATGATTTCGCAGCCACAACATCGCCTAGACTCGTAAATCATGATAAGGGTTAGGCTATCATCGCATGAATATGTAGTCACAACATCGACCGGACTCGTAATTCATTGTAAGGGTTAGAGTATCATCACATGAATACGTAGTTACAACATTGCCTGAACTCGTAATTCATTGTAAGGGTTAGAGTATCATCGCATGAATACGTAGTTACAACATCGTCTGAACTCGTAATTCATCACCTACAGGTTATGAGCCTGCTGGTGTTTCCATGGGGTCATCTAGAATAGTCCATGGTCGCCATCTATACTCTGGTAGATGACTACATCGCCAAATTGCCACATCGCCGGTTAAGGATATGGTATCTCATCTCATCTCACATCACCTATTTATCATCACCTATCTATCATCACCTAATTATCATCACCTTTCTATCATCACCTATCTCTCATCACCTAATTATCATCACCTATTTCTCATCACCTAATTATCATCACACCTCATCTAATTCATCTACCCATGTTCTACCCAACATATTTGTAGATATAAAATACATGTACATATTAACTCATTTAACACCTATATAAAACATCCATTCCACACTCATCTCAAATAAACAACAATATATAAACACATAGCACATATTTCATAGCAAATACTTAATATATATATATATATATATATATGTGCGTGTGTGTGTGTGTTAGAAGAAAGTGATCACATACTCACCCAAAACATAACTTAATACATTCACACAATACTTGTATTAAAATCGTGTTATGAAAGGGACTATACACTCACTTGATCAAAAGATGATCGGACAGCACTACGGCTTTAAGAGTAGTATTCTTCGGTGAAACCAGGATCACTTCACACACTGGGTTTCTCGTGGACAGAGCTTCGGCTCGGAAACTCTTTTCTTCTCGGGATATTTGGGCTTCGGGACTTGCTTCGGGTCTCGGGGTTGATATCGGGGCTTCGGGGGATTAAAATAGGGCTTATAGGGTGTATCGGGAGTGGGAGAGAAGAGATGGAGCAACCCTAAATGGTTGACCCTTCAAATATATTTATAGGCAAAATTTTCATTTTCCACGTCGTGGGCTTGATCGTCACTGCATGCGTCATCGCAAGTTGCGTCTGGGGGACTCTAGGAGGTGTCAGAAGACTTGCCACGTCGTGGCACTTCTTGCCACATCGTGGTATCTGACAGTTTTGGGGTTTCGCGCCCCGAACTTCAGAAATTCATAACTTTCGCATACGAACTCCGTTTTCGACGTTCATTATATCAACGCGTAGGTAAAAACAATATATACAACTTTAATTTAGACTCCGTCGGCTAATTTTGACTTTATTGAAATTATATTATTTTTATATTATTTTTAGTAGGCCGGGACAGGAAAACTTCGTTATAAACTCATAACTCCTTCGTCTGACGTCCGTTTTCGTCTGTCTTTTCTGTCGTTGCACTATTATCAATGAGATATTCAATTCTCATTTAGATTGTTTTGGCTAAATATCGCTCTAACATAAATTCACTATTTACGTCGCGCTGTGTCGTGTCGGTTCTTTCGCGAAACTTCGATAAGTCATAACTTCTTCGTTATAACTCGGATTTCGGCATTCTTTATATGTACG